CTCGTCGTCATCATTTCGGCCCTTCATCACGTTTGCTCGGGAGAGTCGGAAGAGGAGGGATCGGGAGGAGGAGAGGCGGCGATCGCGGTCGGCTTCGTCGCGAGCGAGGAGGAGGAGGGCGGTGGCCACACGCTGGCGCTGCACAGGGCCACGGGCGCGGCCACCAGGCACGGCCGCAGGTCGCTGGCCGAGATGTGCGGTCGTCACTGACGAGGCAGCAGCGGTGTTGACGGCCTGCCGCTGCCTCCAAGACACACGGAGCCGTGAGGCAGGCCTGCAAGCGGGCTCCTTGCCACCGCCGCCGCCGCCATCGCTATCGTCAGCGCCAACACCGCCGTCGTCAACATCACAACCATCGTCACCACCACCATCATCACCACCACCATCATCACCACCATCATCATCACCTTGTGTCTTTTGTGTTTTGAGCTCAGGTCGCGAACACGGATCGAGCCGTAACATTTTGAAGATCAGTGTCTCTTATTTGTTTAAACACGGATCTAACCGTGACATTTTGAAGGTCAGTGTCTCTTATTTGTTTAAACACGGATCTAACCGTGACATTTTGAAGATCTGTGTCTCTTATTTGTTTAAACACGGATCTAACCGTGACATTTTGAAGGTCAATGTCTCTTATTTGTTTAAACACGGATCTAACCGTGACATTTTGAAGATCTGTGTCTCTTATTTGTTTAAACACGGATCTAACCGTGACATTTTGAAGGTCAGTGTCTCTTATTTGTTTAAACACGGATCTAACCGTGACATTTTGAAGGTCAGTGTCTCTTATTTGTTTAAACACGGATCTAACCGTGACATTTTGAAGGTCAATGTCTCTTATTTGTTTAAACACGGATCTAACCGTGACATTTTGAAGATCTGTGTCTCTTATTTGTTTAAACACGAATCTAACCGTGACATTTTGAAGGTCAGTGTCTCTTATTTGTTTAAACACGGATCTAACCGTGACATTTTGAAGGTCAGTGTCTCTTATTTGTTTAAACACGGATCTAACCGTGACATTTTGAAGGTCAGTGTCTCTTATTTGTTTAAACACGGATCTAACCGTGACATTTTGAAGATCTGTCTCTTATTTGTTTAAACACGGATCTAACCGTGACATTTTGTAGATCTGTGTCTCTTATTTGTTTAAACACGGATCTAACCGTGACATTTCGAAGATCAGTGTCTCTTATTTGTTTAAACACGAATCTAACCATGACATTTTGAAGGTCAGTGTCTCTTATTTGTTTCAACACGGATCTAACCGTGACATTTTGAGCAAACAGCCAAGGAACAGGGAAAGCTGATACCCTTAGACAATGCAATTTGTTTTTACGCAGAGATGGTTACAGTAAAACAAAGAGTACAGTTACTTAATCAATTTTCCAGTAGCAAACAGCCAGTTTCACCTTAGACTCCACCCTGATTAGCCAAATGTGTCTGAGCACATGTTTAATGTGCAGTTGTATTTTTTATTTTACTATTTTTCTGAATGCTTAACTATTTATGTTCCGAATTGTAATATCGAAGCCAATACACAAGGCAGGGAAATTCCTACTGGCAGCAGATCGATGTCTCAATTAGTAAAGATGCCACAAGAAACACCACGAGAATATCTTCTGGCATCTCTTCAAGAGGTCACACTTAACCAGCACATTCCTGTGCTCCATTAGAGCAGTTAAATGCGTGTCAGTCATCTGACATGTGCTACTTATATCTCACTCTCAGAGTTGGTCGAATCCAAATTAAGTGAAACAAAAAATGCAAGGTGGCTCTCTGATGTAGGTGTAACAATGATGTCACTAGTTGCACCTCGTGATTAGATGAATTGCCGCAATTTAAATAAAATCATCTATCCGTTTTTTATAACATTGTAGTGAATTTGGGCCCATTGCATAAACATTCAGATAAAAATAATCTATTGTTTTCATATTCGATTCAATGCATGCTTAATTAAATGCGAAATCGATATTGATATCAATGGATCAATCCATCATTCCATTTTACTGTCTGTCATTAAAAACGGTGCTGGCTCATTCTAATGTGGGTATTAGCTACCCCAAGTGATACAGCCAACTTCGAGGGATGGATGAGTAAAGAATCCGCTTATTTGGCTAATCTTAGCAAAGGTCAAGGCAATCGTCGAGAAGACTTAAACCTATCACCTGGCTCACCTGTGGAGTCACGCCGTGAAATAGGTGGCGTTGGGTCATTACGACGTCTTCCTTCTATTTAAACAGTAACGTGAAAGTAATATATATATAGTACACAAGCAAGTGGAACAAATCTTGGCAACAAATCTCAGCAATGATTATACTTGCATTGTCTTTAGTCACAGAAACAGTAATCTGAGATGCGCATTGAGTAATGGAAGGTGATTTAATCCTTTGAGCAAGTAATTTATTTCTTCAACAGATGTAATTTTTCATACAGTTAGCTTGCAAAGAAAAACACATTTTCATTTTGAACTCATCGATATTCCTGCATTGTGTTTTATTAGCATTATTGATTTGTGCCTTTGAAATTAAATGAAGTAGCATTTGATTTACGATCAGGTATAACCTTCATTAAAACTGCGCAGGGCTTAGAGTGAATAAATAAGGTTGGTTACTGTGTCCGTACTCTTTTAAGTATATGGGAGACTTTAACATTGAAGTCTATGGGAGACTTTAACATTGAAGTCTATGGGAGACTTTAACATTGAAGTCTATGGGAGACTTTAACATTGAAGTCTATGGGAGACTTTAACATTGAAGTCTATGGGAGACTTTAACATTGAAGTCTATGGGAGACTTCAAATTCACCATGGAAGTGGAGAAAGATGGCAAGCTACCATTCTTAGATGTTCTGTTTGAGAGGAGACCTGATGGCTCATTGGGGCATTCTGTCTACAGGAAACCCACCCACACAGATTCCTACTTGAAACCTGATTCCCACCACCACCCAGCCCAAAAGAATTCTCTCATCAAAACTTTATACCATAGGGCTCATTGCGTTTCGGACCAACACCACCTGACCAGTGAATTAAAACATGTACACTTGGCCCTCAAAATGAATGGTTACTCTGACCGTACCATCCACCAAGCTGTCTCTCCCTCCATACAGAAACAACCACTTGATACTCCGGTCAAAACCATCATACTTCCATATATAGCAGGCGTTACTAAAAAGATTTCCAAACTTCTAAACAAACACAACATCCAGATCCGGTTCAATACAGTACACAAAATTCGTGATCTGATCCCATCCGTGAAGGATGTCATTTCTGATTTACAGTACCCCGGGGTTTACAAATTGAGTTGTACCTGCGGTGATTGCTATATCGGTGAGACAAAGCGACATGTCTCTGACCGAATTCACGAGCACAAATTAGATTTGAAACACGGCAGAACGAATTCTTCTGCCGTAGCTGATCATTGTTACAATGCTGTGGGTGATCACGATATAATTTTCTCCGATACCAAGGTTCTTTGCAAACCCACGGGCTTTTATCAGAGATTTGTTCATGAAGCAATTCAGATCTACAAACACAGACACAATTTCAACCGAGAGGATGGTTTCAAATTAAGCAACCATTGGAAAGATGTTCTAAATCGAACTAAACATTAAACTAATTTCAATGGTACAGTATATTTTTCAAGTAGTGGTACCCCAAACTTTCGCAGCTCTTATAAATTCCCTTTTCACACCATCAATAGGTAAACTCCCCCTCCCCCCCTTCCCCCCCCCCCGCGCCAAACGGCACGTACACCACCTCTTTCCTAAAATCCGCCAATCAAATGCTAATTTTTATGCTAATTTCTTTGTCAGAACACCTTGTTTGCTCGCACACAGGTCCGATGTCTGAGCGTGGTTGTGTTTCGCTAAATTCTCCTGTTTGATGAGTACTAGGTGCCTCGGTGAATGTATATGCTCTGACTTTAACATAGCTATTTCTGTGACCAGTTACAAGCTAATCACTCAGCTATTTCAATGCTAAATTCTATGCTAATTCCTTTGTCAAGGGGTACCTCTCCGGATGTGTACACTTTAACTTAGCTATTTCAATGAGCCATTTCAATGCTAAATTATATGCTAATTCCTTTGTCAAGGCGCTTTGTGTTTTTCTTCTCACACAGCTTAAAGGTCGTGATCTAAGCGTGGCTTCTCCCACTCCAGCGCTGTCCTCCAGACAGTCTCGTTCCTTCACCTGATGAAGGCCGCTTGTGTTGTGGCCAAAACGTCGTGATTTTTTGTTATTTTATTTTCACCTACGTGACTTTACCCAATAGAACCAAAGAGTATGGATCCTAGCAGTCACGAAAGCTTTAAATCTAGAATTTAACATTGAAGTCTATGGGAGACTTTAACATTGAAGTCAATGGGAGACTTTAACATTGAAGTCTATGGGAGACTTTAACATTGAAGTCTATGGGAGACTTTAACATTGAAGTCTATGGTAAACTTAACATTGAAGTCTATGGGAGACTTTAACATTGAAGTCTATGGGAGACTTTA